TAGGTAATGCATATAAGGAATTTTCCTTAGAGCAAAAAATAAATGTGTACAATATTTATCTATAAATGTCTGCTCTTTGCAAAAAAAAAAGTAAAGACAGATGTTTTGCTGTCTGATTCATCACTGTGGTACTCCAGTTTTAAGTCAGTATAACTCAATTGATATCAATAGAGTTGCACTGACTTAAAACTGGAGTAACAAAGTAAAAAATCAGCAACTTGTTAGTTTAAGTATAATGTGTTTAGTTTTCAGTAAAACTGTGATTGTGATTCATTTTATGTATATACACAAAAAACCCTTTAAAAGTATGTAAATTAACCAATTTTGGTTCAGATTTAAGTAACTGCATGTTATCTAAATGAGTCAATTCAGATTGACAAAACTCATAGTAATGTGCATGATAATTTAGAAGCCTTTTGAGGAACCCTTATCAGGACAAAAGGGTGTTAAGGAATCAACTCTATCACATGTAGGAAAAGAAACTAATGGCATATGTATCAAATAACTCCAAAAACATTAAGGCCTAAAAACTCAGTAACCAGATCATCTCTCCAGCTGTTCATCTCCTCCTGTGAATAAGTCCTGTTTTAGGGAGGATATTCTTCTCCCAATACACACACATCTCCGTAAAGGTTAGCTTTTGCCTAACTTGTCCAGTAAGCCCAGAAGTGTTCACCAGCTGTGTTGTTGAATGTACAAAGATCTATGTACGGATCCTTTTGAAACCAACATTTCATTGATGGAATGCTGGCACTATCAGAGTTGCCATGGAGACCAGCAGGGAAAGAGTTAACAGGAGATATGTAGGTAGTTACATATATTCATCAAGGAATGAATAGATCCCATAAGGAAGAGGAGATATTAAATAGCATCAAACATGTTTTTCAAAATAAATAACTTTTAACATTTTATTACTAGACTTTTCTATGTCCCTCAGCACCAAACATTACACACAAACATTAATCAATTCATCCTCTCAGCAGGTCTGTGAGCTAGGGAAGTATTATCATTCCCATTTTGGAGACTGGGAAATCGAGGCACGAATATTAAAGAAGACTTTGGCAGAGCTGGGGAAAAAACAGATAACCTCACTCACTGTCCTGTGCCTTAACTGCAAGATCAAAGTCTTGCTCTTTGCTGTTAAATCATGGTGTTTTGCTTACCCTACCATGAAAGATGAGATGATCAATGATGTATTTTAACATCAGTATCAATGTATTTATTTCACAGCACCATGGAAGTTCAGTGTATTCAACTTTTGGCATGAATACTAAAGAGGATTATTGGGCCAGGAATATTTCAAAGACCATTTGGGAGGGCACAAAACAGAAAATGGAATTTTCTTGCTCCTAAATGTAATTAAGCCAGCCCTCATATCCAACGTGTCTCCCTTTGTTTATTAAGTGAGTTGGAATAACATGTTAGTTAACACTTTTAATCAGCAATCAATTGCTCAGGCTGGACTTTGGTACTCCACTCATACCACTTACATCTGTCAAGTACTTAAAATATGGGAACTGTAAATGAGGCTACATATCCTGCAAATAGTTTTCCAGAAATATTTACAGTACACAGGAGACTTATTAAAATCATGCTTTTGTCCCTAAAATGGAGTCCCATACACTTGCCAACTGGCCTTTTTTTAATACAAATATCTTAATATATCTCAAATGATGATATACCCAACACATCTTTTATGGTGTTACTTTTTATGCTATTATTACTCCATAATGGGTCTACTGAATTGATTACAATTTTGATATGTGCAGCATTGGGTATGCTACAATTGTTGACCATTTTTGCCATACATTGTGGCAGGCAGAAATAAAAAACAGCACTAATAAAATATAGCAGGAAATTTGTTATCTGATCTCTGCGATTTGTTATGCTGACTACTGCTACATAATAGCTTAACGTTTCAAGGAACAACTGAAACACCACATATACATAAATATAAATTATCAAGAATATTTCAACATATAACACAGTGTTGTGTATAGGAAGAACAGGAGGAAATGGAGGTTACATACCTGTGCAACATCAATTTGGGAGAAAACTCTTTTGGCAGCATCCTTACCCTGGCTTCGTTTTTTCATTTCTTCCAAACTGATCTCATGGCTTGTCAAATCAGATTGTATTTTCTGTTGGAAAACAAACTTAGTAATCAGATGCATTTGAAACATACTTTATCCTGCTATAATCGGAGTATCTAATTCCTGACACATATTAAAGAGATATTAAGCGATATTAAAACTCTGGAAGAAATAATTTAAAGGAGAATTATTTGTTTACTTCCTTATAATTCATTTTATTTTACTTTCTTGTGTGCAAACTCAATAATACCTTCTCCTCCTGCTTAAATGTAAAGCCAAATTCTGAGTTTGTGACAATGACGACAATCTGTTGCTAAGGACATTACAATTACATTGCAGATACTGAATATAGATTTCCTTCTCAAGAGAAGAAGATGGATTACCATTGTTTGCCTTTGAAAAAAAATCTAAAGTAATTATGGAAAAGAAACATACATAAACAGGTAAAGGAGTTTACTTGGATATTTTTATTTCTTGTTTGACCTGTTGTGTTAATGGCTTTTTAGGAGATTTTTGATATAAATTATAAATATTTTGATCAAACTACCTGATATGTACAGTAAATGACATCATCTTACACTGGTATGTATTCCGATATCTATAAATGTTATTTAACTTGTGGTTTAGGACTCACTGACCATAACTTCCATTCACTGTCTGCTAAGAAAAGGCTTATGTACAACAGTAGGCTGATGACGAAGGACATTCATGCATTCATCTGAGCCATTTTTTAGTGAATATTTCTGTCTGTCATTTTCAGCAAGAACCAGCAGGTGATCAAATTACTTCAATGCAAATTTCAGCCCTTGTCATCTCATCATAAATCAGTCTGATAAAAAGACACCAATTGATTTAAGCAACGCTGACCAATGCTATAACATGCAAAACAATTCATACAATGCATATTGATATAACCCAATTTAGACCATTTCAAAACAATTTATGTGGAAATTGTTAGAAAATGAATATCTGCTAGTAGCAGATTGCTTAACAATTACTGCTGAGAATAGGAACTCTGAAATAACTATTAGCTTTTTTCTCATCAGAAAGAGTATTTGAAACCATTATTGCTAAATTGGAAAAAAAAATCTAACTGTAACTTTGATCTATTCCCTGTATTAATTACACAAAAATCTCACAAAACCACTACAGCCTACCTATAAGTAGATGCATTTCTAAGGTACACTATCGCTTAAAACAAAAAAACTGTATTTCAAGAATACAGTTTCATTTTTTGTTCTATTAAGGAACAGAAAAAAAATCAAAATCACATAGTTTCCAAGGAAACGGAAAATCTGCTTGCCATGAGTTTCAATTATTAAATTCTGAGCTCAAGTATACTAATGCATAAAAATTGACATGCAAAAAATTATAAAGGACTGTGTCTCTGGTTTGTTCTGATATAGCACAGGGAGGCAAAGAAGAGGACAACAGGGACCAAGAACTTCATGAGGCCTTTGCACCCTCTGCCACTTATGGGGCAGGTATGGAGAAAAGCAGTGCTGGCTGAGACAAATGTGGGAGAGGTTATTCAACCAGAACCCCTGTTGCACCAAATGCCATTCCCTGCAACTACCCCTACAGCAGGATCAGAGGAGGGGAACAGTGCTGCTCAGCATATGGAGCTGGAAGAAGCCAGTCTATCAGGCTCCCTGCCCCCACCAGCAGCCTAGATACACTCTACTCCTCCACCACCAGTTGTGCAGGGGTGAGGAGCTGCCCTGACTGGGAATATAAAGTACAAGCCGGGAGTAGCAAGCAGCAACCTAAAGATTCCCCCAGGCAGCAACCTATGGATGTCTCTGTCTGAGAAAACCATTAAACTAGTCTTTGAATAACTACTGCTAGTTTGTTTGATGGGTAGGTGGAAGGGACTGCAGTGATAGGTTTCTACTGCCCATAAAAATATCTATTTATAGAATTTAATGAAACCCCATGCAACTGGCCATTTTGCTTCACTGCACAGTCACTGTATAGCTATATTGGGTTATTGGACTCTGCACAGGTACTACGTCGGAGAATGACTTGGAAGAGTTATCTGAGGGAAGGGATCAGAAGGAGATCCCATCGACCAGACGGCATGGGATGCACTGTCTTAGGGATGGGGGTTCCACGACCACCATTCCCAAAAGGAGGAGATGGGTGGTGGTAGTCCGGGACTTCCTCCTAAGGGGGATGGAGTCATCCATCTGCCATCCAGACTGGGAGACTCGAGAAGTGTGCTGTCGAGACTGATTAACCCCTCGGACCACTACCCTCTTTCTACTTCTCCACGTGGGCAGCAATGATACTGTCAAGAATGACATTGAGTGGGACACTGCAGACCATGTTGCTCTGGGAAGAAGGATAAAGGAGTCTGAGGTTCAAGTCATGTTCTCATCCATCCTACCTGTTGAAGGAAAAGGCCCAGGTAGGGACCATCGAATTGTAGAGGTAAACATGTGGTTATGAAGGTGGTATCAGAGCTTTGGATTCTTCCACCATGGGATGTTGTTCCAGGAAGAAGGATTGATAGGAAGAGATAGGATCCACCTAATGAAGAGAGGGAAGAGCATCTTCACAGGCAGGCTTGCTAACCTAGTGAGGAGGGCTTTAAACTAGGTTCACCGGGGGATGGTGAGCTAAGCCCAGAGGTAAGGGGGGAAGTGGGACACCGGGAGGAAACACAAGGAGGAGGGTGCAACAGGGGAGGCCTCCTGATTCATACTGAGAAAGTAGGGCAATTAGCTAATTATCTTAGGTGCCTGTACACGAATGCGAGAAGTCCGGGAAACAAGCAGGAGGAATTGGAAATCCTGGCACAGTCAAAGAACTATGATGTGATTGGAATAACAGACTTGGTGGGGTAACTCAAATGATTGGAGCACTGTCATGGATGGGCATAAACTGTTCAGGAAGGACAGGTGGGGGAGAAAAGATGGAGGAGTTGCACTGTATGTAAGAGAGCAGTATGATTGCTCCGAGCTCCAAACTGGAGAAAAGACTGCTGAGAGTCTTTGGGTTAAGTTTAGAGGGGAGAGCAACAAGGGTGAGGTTGAAGTGGGCATCTGCTATAGAGCACCAGACCAGGAGATTGAGGTAGATGAGGCTTTCTTCAGACAACTAACAGAAGTTTCCAAAATACAGGACCTGGTTCTCATGGGCGGGGGGGCCTTCAATCACCCTGAAATCTGCTGGGAGAGCAATACAGCAGTGCACAGACAATACAGGAAGTTTTTGGAAAGTGTTGGGTGCAACTTCCTGGTGCAAGTACTGGAGGAAACAAATACAGGTTGTGCTCCTCTTGACCTGCTGTTCACAAACAAGGAAGAATCAGTAGGGGAAGTAGAAGTGGTTGGCAACCTAGACAGCACTGACCACGAGATGGTTGAGTTCAGGATCCTGACAGAAGAAAGAAAGGAGAGCAGCAGAATATGGACCCTGGACTTCAGAAAAACAGGCTGACTCCATCAGGGAACTGATGGGCAGGATCCCCTGGGTGCTAACATGAGGGGGAAAGGAGTCCAGGAGAGCTGGCTGTATTTTAAAGAAGCATTATTGAGGGTGAATGAACAAACCATCCCAATGTGCAGAAAGAATAGCAAATATGGCAGGTGACCAGCTTGTCTTAACAGAGAAATCTTCAGTGAGCTTAAACACAAAGAGGAAGCTTACGAGAAATGGAAACTTGGAATGATAACTAGGGAGGAGTATAAAAATATTGCTCGATCATACAGGGGTGTAATCAGGAAGGCCAAAGAAGAATTGGAGTTGCAGCTAGCTTTTATGCATTTTTTGCCTTGGTCTTCACAGACAAGGTCAGCTCCCAGACTGCTACACTGGGCAACACAGTATGGGGAGGAGGTGAGCAGCCCTCAGTGGTGAAAGAACAGGTTAAGGACTACTTAGAAAAGCTGGACATGCACAAGTCCATGCGTCCAGACCTAATGCATCTGAGGGGGCTGAGAGAATTGGATTTCAGAGCCATTGGCCATTATCTTTGAAAACTCATTGCAATCAGGGGAGGTCGCGGACAATTGGAAAAAGGCAAATATAGTGCCCATCTTTAAAAAAGGGAAGAAGGAGAATCTGGGGAACTACTGACCAGTTAGCCTCTCTTCAGTCCCCGGGAAAATCATGGAGCAGGTCATCAAGGAATCCATTTTGAAGCACTTAGAGGAGAGGAAAGTGATCAAGAACAGTCAACATGGATTCACCAAGGGCAAGCCATGCCTGACCAACCTGATTGCCTTCTATGATGAGATAACTGGCTCTGTGGATATGGGGAAAGCGGTGGACATGATGTATCTTGACTTTAACAAAGCTTTTGAAAACAGTCTCCCACAGTATTCTTGCCAGAACAAACTATCCCACTGGGTAGGAAAGAAAGGAAGTATGGCAAGAGAACACCCAGGCTTAACCAGGAGATCTTCAATGTTCTGAAACTCAAAAGAGTCCTACAAAAAGTGGAAACTAGGTCAAATTACAAAGGATGAATATAAACAAACAACAAAAGCATATGGGGATAAAATTAGAAAGGCCAATGTACAAAATGAGATTAAACTAGCTAGAGACATGAAGGGTAACAAGAAAACATTCTACAAATACATTAGAAACAAGAGGAAGATCAACGACAGAGTTGGCCGTTACTCAATGAGGTGGGAAAAACAATAGCAGAAAATGTTAAAATGGAAATGGCAGTTTTTACCAAAAAGATTAGTAGTGATTGGACATCTAACATAGTGAACACCAGTGGAAATGAGGCAGGATCTGAGACTAAAATAGGGAAAGAAAAAGTTAAAAATTACTTAGACAAGTAAGATATCTTCAAGTTGCCAGGGCGAGAAGAAATACATCCTAGAATACTCAAGGAGTTGACCTAGGCAATATCTGAGCCATTAGCGTTTATCTTTGAAAGGTCATGGAAGACAGAATTGATTCCAGAGGCCTGGGCAAATATAGCACCAATCTATAAGGGAAATAAAAACAATCCAGGGAATTAGAGACCATTCAGCTTAATTTCAGTACCCAGAAAGATAATGGAGCAAATAATTAAGCAATCAATTTGC